GGAGCACTGCCTCCAGGTATCTGGAGCCAAGTGGCCAAAACACCGAGGCCTTACCCAGGTAACTTGAAAGAGTGAAACCATTAAGCACGTTACTCATTTCAGGGATCAGCTCAAGTATTAGTCTTTCCCTTGCTGTTAAATAGTGCTGGGATTCTTCAGTGAAAGCTGCTATTTTACCACTGACTTCCAGTGCCTTTGGAGGGGGAAAAGTCCTGCTGTTGTAGCATGTGGGAAACACTTAAGAGAGGGTGCACATAAAACAAAGGCAACAAAAACCTCAAAAAAATGCCAGCCAAAAAAAAAAAAATGGCTGAGAAGAACTAAGGGAGTTGTAGGCTAAGACAGATACTTTAAAACCAGGCAAAATTTACATAAATACTGCTATTTTTGACCTGTGCACTAAATGTTTTGGTTCACAATGCAACAATAGTTTATCTATGGCTAAGACCTCCATTTTCTGCTGTTTGCCCAGCAGCCCAAGCAGCCAGCTGTTCCCTTCCTCAAATGCAGTCCCTGCAAGCCAAGGCTGCATGCATCTGCATGCATCACGTCCTCCTCTCTTCTCTAAAGTCCCAGGTGGCATTTGCAGTTCCCAAAGCACCAGATTGAACAAGAAAAACCTCCAGAAGGCTAAGAACAAACTGGAGCCTTTGGGGTTTTGGACTTGCCACCTTTCTCGTGATAGCATCAAAATCCATACCCACAATCCATATGACTGGACTATACATCAGCAGATTTATATGCATTTTTGTAGAAGGGTGGACAACTTACGTTTTCATGCCATGCTTTCCCTTTCAAGGTCAGTTCTGGGTATTTGCTCCTTCAGCTATCCCAATGCTCCCACTGCCTGAGCATACCGTTCACAAGCTGTTAGCGAGAGTCACAGTGGCCAATTCAGTCTTCAGCTCCTCCTGGGAGAGCAGTGGGAACTCAGCTGTTGCGAATGCTGCATGGGCAGGAGCTGTTGAATTTTCCCCATAGATTTGTGTGCCATAACCAAGTCTGAGCTTGCCCATGAGCAATTAGAGTCACTTGTGGGCTACACAGACATAGCAGGTACTGGATCAGGAAATAGTGTATTAGCTTAAATTTCACATCTCTGTTGAAGCTGAGGCATACTCATTGTTTTCCAATTTATGATTTGCAGTTTGCCTGTCTCTTTAGAAAAAAGTAACGATAAAAAAAAGAAGCTCTTGAAATTATGCAAATATTTAATAATAGTGGTAGCTGAGGCAGCTGATTTAAATAAGTGGAACAGAAACATCCTTCAGCATACTTTTTATAAAGGACCACACTAGCAATAGGTTGAGTAAGTTCTCACAGATGCGTCTCCTGCCTGCTGAAACTAGTTGAGGTTCCTCATGTAATAAAGGCCAAGAGGTGCCGATGCAGGCCTGTGGAGCAGCTGGGACAAGGAGGACCTGAGCAGCTCATGTCCACCATTCCCCAGTGCAGCCTGTGGAGGGCAGAAACCCTCACAGCACTGAGCAGCATCAGAACTCACCCATCCCTGATCAGGCATGAAATGCTCAGACCATAACTTGACCAGAAATTTGATGCCAGCAGCCTCAACACTATCATTCGTAAGAGTTCAAAAGAGAAAAAAGGGTTAAATTGCAAAATTAAGCATGGCTGGAGAGTGCACGAAAAGGGATAGATACACACTAGATTCCCAAGTCTGACTTGCCCCCTCCAAGTTCCTCTTAGAAAGAGTCAGGGAGCATAGGCTAAACGTGCCAGACTACAAGCGGGGACCTTGGAGAAGACTGCTTCGGTCACACTTTTTAAGGTGCAGCTCCGTTCATTGACCATTGATGCATCTGTGAGACTTTCGATCCAAAAGGATGAAAAAGGTCTCTTGGAACCTACCCGCTGTCGTGCTTTGATGTTTAAAAACCCGAGCCACACAACAGACAGCAACTCCAACCCATTCTCCTTTTCTATGTAAGGACTCCGCTGTTGAAGCCTGTGGCACAGAAACTAAACAGTGCTGTGGATTTAAGTCTGATGCGTTCACTCCTGCTATGACTAATGGCATTGGATGCAAAATGCATTTTCCTGTCACTCCCTAAAGGTTAGGAAATACTGCCCAAGCATGGAGGCCTGATGAAACGATAACCGGTTCAAAGTCAGAAGGTTCGGTTTTTCCCCTACAAAACTGTATCCCGTTTCAATCATAAAACATCGGCGTGCTGAGGGGTGGTTGCAAGCTGGGGTGGAATCTCTGAAGACGTGCACCAGCCCAATTCATCTCTGATATTAGCAGAGCTAGTCAAGATAAAATCTAGCAGGAAAAAATACATTGAAGTCAGATGAAAGGAAAAGTTTAAAATTACCATTCTTTGACAATGAAAGGGAAGAAGTGAGTCACGTTGGCCTCTATCTACCACACCAGCCACGTTAGGAGTTAATTGGAAATGACTGTTTACTCTTGTGGCCACTTATTTGGCTCATTAATAGGCACTGACTTAATTTGGAAAGGATTTTTGGTGCCGTTTTGTAATTAATATTTTTCCAAGACACCTATGATGCATCTTTGCATTAAAAAAACCCATTTGCTTAATTTTCTTCCTTTCAAACACAGCTCTTTTCATTCTCTTATGCAATAACTTCCCTGTGCTCACTGTAGAAACAGCAGTACACGTTTCAGCCAAGAAGAGCTGAATAATAAGACACGGGAACAGATTCCTTCTCACATGCAAGTGGAGCAATGGGACTTGACAGCTCTGAGTCCAAACTTAATTCATCATTAGGAATTTATTCAAAAAGCTATAACGAGATAACTAATTTAATACACTGTGCTTCAAGGTTTATTCCTTGGCTTGTTTCCCAGATAGAAAGCATCTCTGCGCAATTATCATGCAGATGCTGCTGAAAAGACTTTAAATGGTTGCTGCTAATTTAACAAGAGATATGTTGGCATTGGCAGAAGAAATTAGAGGAAAAGTGAAGTTGACTGGAAACTCAGCTGATCCCCAAAAGGAACACGGTCAAGATGTTACAGGTAAGTAACTCCTCACCATTTGTTGGTGGCTACAAGTCTCCACCAGAATCCTTGTCACCTCATTAGGCCCCTATTGCAGAGTACCAAATGAATGCAGTGCAATTTTAAATACATCTAAGCAGCATTCTGGTACAGAGCCTTGGAGGGAGCTCCCACTGATTGTGCGGAAAGATGGGTGTGTGGAAGTTGAGAGTACCTGTAGGCTTAGGCCTTCATACACTGACCAGGGGTTCAGAGGTAGGAATGCAAAGGAAAAGCAATGATGGGACTAAAAGATGAAATTTATCAAGGAAAGGGATACTAAGAAAGAGAATTTCACTGTGGCAGAGTAACAGCATTGCATCGTGTGCCCCCAAGAAGCTGCGAAATCTCTAGCCTTGGAGATCTGTGAAACTGGGTGTGAACCTGGGCAAGCCTATCTTCAGCTTTAGTTAGCCCTGGGGTGAGCAGGGCTGGGGCCAGAGACATCCAACGCTCCTCTCCAGCCTGGCCCATTCCCTAGGGATGTGACAGGACCAAGTTGAAGCCTGGGCTGCCCACAGAAAGGTGACAGTGTGCAGAGATGAGGAGGGAAGAGGAGTCAGAGTGAGGAGGAGAGTGACCTCAGTGCAAAAACTTTCCTTGCCATCTCTTACACCAGAAATAGCACAGTCCCCCCACAACTTGCTAAAGCTTTGTTGTTTGTTTTGAGGTTATTTTTTTTTAAAGTACAGTTACTTTCACTTCTAAATAACTGTAAGTAAATGCTACCATGCACACACTGCAAGGGAATTCATAACGTGATTTACTCCAGTGAAATAAACAGTTTGGAGAAAGTGATATGCACCAAGTCATGCAAAAGAGCTAGCCAATGCTGAGGAGAAGAGGATGAGGAAGAGCAAGGAGGACAGGTCTGACTGCTCAGATACTTACAGGACACGTGGATTTTTTTCTTAGCACTGTCATAGATTGCAGTGTTGGCCTAGGACAAGCCAGTTAGGAATCTGTGCCCTAGTTATGCAGTAGAGGAGGTTCGTTTCCCTATTTGGTTCTGATTGTAAACTTCAGCAAGGACTGTTTCTCGTTTATGTATTACTACAACATCCTCCTAATCCTAACTTGAATCCCTGAATACTACCTGTATAAAATAGTAATAACAGATAGGAGGGAGAATCCAAAGTGACCAGACAGAGAAGAGAGGTGATCCATGCAATTTAATACAGAACACACCCTAAGTGAGGTCTGCCAGTACTGAAAGGAAGATTGCTTCGTATGTTCATAAACCACAAGACAATGATGGGGGGAAAAAGCAAGGCAGGCTGTGAGCTAAGGGTCACTGTTTCATATGATCTCAGATACAAAGGAAAGACCATACTGATCATTTTGACAAAGTTCAAATGACTAGAAAGTACAACGATGACAGTGCTGAAGATGGTAGTTCAAACTTGTAACTAAGGCAACTAGAGATGCCTAACTTAAATGAGGTTCCTTTTCTACAGGAGGTGAGCCCCAAGGCAATAAAACTTTCAGTGTAATTCATGAGAAGGTGCTTGATTTGAGTTTTTTTCACCTGCACTTAGTTGAAATTCCTTTGCTGTTCAACCCACAGCCCACCAGCTACCAGAGAGACTCATTCACTGACTTCAGCCTGCTCTGGGTCACTGCACTTCACCCTGCGCTGCTTCAGTTCTTCTGAGTCCTTCAAGGACTGCAGACAGTAGCAAAGGCCTCATTTAAAAGGTCCAGTATTGCTTTTTTTCAAGGACTAATTTAAACCGTAATTCTTGTGGAATTTGACCAGTTTAGCACCCAAAACCTCTGCCCTCACAACATCCCGTGTTTGAGCCCTCTGTAATGTGTCTTGCTCAGGTCTCCCTGCTCCAGGACCGTGTTCCCTCAGCTTCCATTCGTACACAGCTGTAGCTGACATCTACCAGGTCTTGTTTTCACCATGGAAGCCACATATCTAGGTCCAAAATGTTCTTACATGAGAAAAATACTTTCTGCCAAATAGCTGTTCCTTTCAGAAGCTGTGTAGCAAAATAAAAGCCAGTAAACTGCCTTTACAAAGGATTGCTTTCCTTATGGACATGTTACAATGCAGACCAGTCATGTCAAATGTGGTTCAATTAAAAGGTCACTAGAAGTTTTACAAGTCATTAAAGTAATTCACAAGTTATTCCAAGAAAAATAAATTATATCTTGTATAAAATAATCCACGGGAGACTTTAGTAAAGAACAATCATTCCTTACTTTCAAGACAACTTCAAAAAGTGCAATATATGCACACAGTGTTGTCAAGGCAGTTCCCCTTGTTCATCAGCAAGGTTCAGCCAGATTCACAAAGCTGGGTCTGGGATGATTAAATAAGTCTGGAGTTTTGCAGAAACTGGATGAGCACTTGATAGACAAACTTGTACTGGGCTATGGTCTGGATCATAAACATTCTCTGCTCCCGCAGGTGTCTCAGCATCACAGGAACGTCCACTTTCTGTAAAGCAAAGAAAAAAACCAAACATAAGGTCGTAAGTTCATTAAATCAAACAATCATTGCCTCAACTATCAGTTCTGGCACAGGGAACTGTATTATAACATGTAATGAACTGTAACCAACTGCAGTGAAATATTACAACTTTTTTGCACCAACTTCTGAATAATTTCAAGGAGTAGAAGAGTTACTGCATATCCAATGCTTTCTCCACTAAAGCTTACAGGAATTTCTGGATTGAAGTAAATGGGCAGATGACCAAAGACTTACCTTCCAGTTGTGTATATCTGATTACCTCTCAGTGAACACATAATGAAGGGTTTCTTCTCTCTGGAGTATTTTCTGGTCCAACATACCTATTTTCAACTCAGTAGAATGTACCCAATACATTGTATTACCTCAGGTAAAAGCCTAGATATACCAGGAAGGTCTAGTACAAAACTTAAACAGACAAGACTGTGTAGCTCAGTTCAGACTCTACCCCTGAGAGCATCACCAGGCCCTGTGGCCATTTCCACACCTGTGCTGCGATCCATGGTCAAATCAAATCAGAGAGGGAGGATCTGACAGACTTTTCCAACAGCAAGCAGGCTTCAGGCTCATTACAAAGGTGTCTTAGATCAAAGTGCAGGCAAATATACCAACCCTTCCACTAAAAGAACATAACTCATTGTCACCAAAAGATCCAGAAACTCTGACACCTGACTTCCCGCAACCAAGTCTGTGCTAGTAAATAACTTCCCAGAAGAAACACGTCTGTAAAGTGAAATGAGGTCCCAGCATCCACAATACATATTTTGCAGACTTCAGGCCAGCATTGGTTTGTTGCCATCTACTGAACGTCTGGTACCAGCTGGGACACATTCAGTGTCCTCCAAGAGAGCATCTTCCAGCTTTGATTAATCCAAAAGAAATTTGCTCATGTGCCCTGAAAATGCTCTGCAACAGGAATTAAAGCACAGTGAGTGGGGTTGGATCAGGAGATTCACTGTGACAGAACATCCCTAACCCCATCGAGCACACTGGGGCACATGCACCCTGTAGTAATCCAAATGAAAACATGCATGAATTGTGTGAAACAGAGGCCCATGAAGTAAAGTGTTAGAAATTACCGCATATTTCATGAGGTGTTACTGTTGTATCTCCGGCATTTAGGGAGCAAAAAGCTCTATGATGTTATTGTGTTGTATCTGTTACAACAGGTACACAAGGAGCCATTCAGAAGTCACTGAGCAATGAAGCTCAGCCTGCCAGGCTCAAATTCAAAGAGCATGGTAATGTGACCCAAGATGAGGGATACAAATTTTCTAGAGCAGCAGTAAATACAAGCACAAAGATATGTGCTCTTTTGGAGGAAGCTCTTCAGCAGTTTGAACATATAAAACAAGAACAGTTACTCTGTGAGGCAACACAAACTGCACTTTGTAATGCTGATTTGCCACTTTTTGGCTGAGATCAGGAATATTAAAAGCTCAACACCTGGACAAATGGACAGAGAAACAAATTAAGATTGCTGCTAACCCTTGGAGGTGCAAGTGAGCATGGGGTCTGCTTCTACGCACACTGGAAATTCTTCTGAAAAGTTTAAAATAAAATCATGCCACATATCCATTTCTGTCCACATATACAAAATTCAGCATCTCCATTCTGTGTCACAACAAGTCCTAACTCGTAGACTATCACTTTCTGAAAACAAAGCTAAATATTCCACCACATACCCAAACAAGCTGTTATAAAAGGACATCTCTAGAGAGTCAACAAGCATAAAGGTTTGCGATGAGCAACGTCATATTATTTTCAGACAGGTGCAAAGGAAAACGTAAGCTCTTTCCAGTTAACTCGGAGAAAGCCTGCCCATGAACTTGGATGCTTAGGAAAGCCACGCTGTCCTTGCTGAGAGGAGTCACGCAGAATCTGATCTCACTTGAGCAACTGCAACCAAAACGCAGGCCAGCTTTGACCTGCACAGCCATGTTTGCCTCTCAGCAGCTTGGTGCTTGACAGCTCATTGATTTTTACTGGGCACACAGTGATCCATGCACCTCCTCAAAATGGATCGGGCTTTGACTTATCTCAGAAATGAAAGAAAAGCCCATCCTGCCTATTTGACCTCGCTGTTTGCAGACAACTTGGCATTTTGCTCTAGGCAAGCAGAATCTTCAAACTCACCTTCATCACAACGTACACATCACAAAGGGATACGTAATGCTTTGCTAAGTTAGCATTTGCAGAAAGAACAAACAAAAATGCTACTCATTTCTGACTCCCAAACTAAAAGATCTCCCCTATGAAAACGCACTGCAGCTGCAATCGTGAGTTAACGTCCCAATGCCAAGTCTGAACAAGAAGTTGGTAGAGCAGGATCTCAATTACTTTCTTGTTCAATGTGTCTGCAGCAGTAAGGATGTAAAGATGTGACATATTACTGGCTATGCAGCAAGTTACTGAAACTGTATCCTGCAACGAGATACACAGCTTTAGACTCAACCAGCAGTGGCCCAGAAGCCACAGTGACTGAAGCTGTACAGAATTTGATTAAACATTGCTTTTTTTACCTAAACCTGAAACCTCACACTCAAGTTCTGGTTTTAGTTCCATCACTGCTGCAGACTTTCCAAGATGGTCTGTATCAGGATTTTCAACCTTGTTCCCCTTTTCTTCTTCACCACTAAAATGTTAACATTAATATATCTAAAAGCCTAAATTATTTTATGTAATAAGTTATTTTATTTCAGAAAAGAACAACTAGTGTCACTTCAAAATAAACCAGTAAAACTGCTGCATGAAGAGGAACCCTCTCTATGCAGAATACAGTATCTGTCACAATCTGAAAATACACTGTTGATATTTTTAATCTTTAAAAAAAAAATAGGTTTTAACAAACCCAAAGTATTAACTTAGTACAATCTAGAGCAACAAAGCCCTTAAGGATAGTTATCTTTAATACTAATGATGATTTTCACCATTAATCAAGACAAAAGAATGCTTGTTTGTTCCTGGCACACCATTAGCACGCGGAGGCTATGATAAAGCTGACACAGCTACACGGATGCTCACAAATGATTTGGGGATGTCTCTTCTCACTACCCAGGCTTCCTCTGGCGTGCAGAAATCCACTGCCAGGTGCCAGTGCATAAGGAAAGAAGTCAAGTAGGCTCAAGAGTCAGAGCCGGTGCCCCACAGAGTTACTGCCCCACAGAGTTGCTGTTACTGAACAGCAATCAGCACAGGAAGGCTGCAGGATTCCCAAAGCACAGACTGTGGGTCCTTTCTGTCCAGGCCAGATCCTGTCTTCCCCTTCCTCCCCACCTACCCCAACCTCAAAGAATGGAAAAAAGTGTAAATTGTGATCTACAGGTCAACTTCACCTCTAGTAAGGCCCCAGCAGCGCTGGAGGAGGTTCCTCTCAGCTGAACTGAGCCCAGGATCTCTAGGTGATGTTGTGACTACAGAATGAGCAGCTACTGGAAGAGGGTAACAGAGCAGAGAACAAAAAATCTTACTTCTGGCATCAACTTTTTTAAAAATAGTGATGAAAGTGCAGTGGTATTTGCCTGGTTTAGGACTCACATTTTTTAATGAGCCAGAAAGCTGCACTTTCCATAGTGCCTCACACAGAAAGGCTCCAATCTATAACTCCTCTATGGTAACACAGGAAGCAGGTGAGCATTTCAGGTGTGTGCATCCAGTCTTCCCTGAATTTCAGGCCACTCATCCAGTGGATGATTAATGGGAGGGGCAGATGATATACGTCTATTTGTCACTCTTGCTGCATTCTTATCTCTACAAGAGGCTTTGGTCTTTGAGCAGTTTCTTTGGCAACAGAAATCCCCAGTTTCAATAGCTGTTGTGTTGAAACTGTGTGGCACATTGTTATTCAAGATGTGATGTTCTTCCTGGACACTTCCCCAGTGACACAGATGAAAGGCAAATTGGCTACTCTGCTGGTGCTCTTATTCTTAACTCCAAACTGTATTACTACTCTTGTAATATTGACTGCAGTTCGTAAAGTTCATATTCCCCAACGTACATATGCCTTTTTCTTAAGACACAGTTTGTTCCAGATGAGATTAGAGACAATATAAGAGAGGAGGGAACCCAAGGAGTGAATTTAGAGAGCAGAAAACTTCAGTTAAAAGAGCAAGGAAGCTGACATTATTCTCTAGCCTCTCTCAGGTAGCCCTTGTGAACATGCTGTCTCTAGACTGTTAGTTAAATATAGATGTGAATTAGACTAAATTCTTAAAGCAGAGATGAAAGTCCTCATTTTGAATGTATTAACATGATACTAATAAAAAATGTATAATATTAACTCAGCAGAAAACTACAAGGAACCTGCCATGGGAAGTCTCTTCCTCTTGCATTTAAGGCCCTTGTCTCACAAAGGTAATGGAAAGAAAGCACTTCAATGCCTTTTAATTCTAACCTCCAAAATGTAACTAGTTAGGCAAAGAACAAGCTCAGGGTTTGTCTTGAGAAAGAAGCTGACTTACTTCATTATGCTCCAAGCACCCAATCATCAGTTCTGTCAGGATGACCACTCCGGTCCTTCCTACCCCTGCGCTGCAGTGAACCACGATGGGAGGGTTGCAGTTGTTGCTGCTGTCCAACACGCTGTTGGTGTGGCGGCGCACCGACTGTATCTCCTCCAGGTAAGCTGCAAGACAACATGCAGGCAAGGTTGCAAACATTTGTATGTCTAAATGTGAAAACTAGGGAAAAGGGAATAAGGAAAAGTCATTCTTTGTCAAAGTGGCAGTAATTTATATTTTTTACAACACACGAATTACTTTGGCCAGGGTGCACTGAGCAGCACTGAATCAGGCAAGTACCAGCTAGGTATCAATTATTACTTGGGAGTCTGCTCCTTTAAATTAAATAGTTCTTTTAAAAAATTAAATTTTGTTTTCCCCTCTGTAAATCTCCAGGTCCCCTAAGCAGATGATTCTAGACGTTACTTACAGCAATTCCTGCTATTTACAGACTGGGATCAAAACAACAGCTAAGTCCCCTTGAAACCACTGCCTGTCAAAGACAATATCAGATGGGAAGCAAGCATCCATCTGCCCTGTCTCCCCCTCCCTCCTTCCTTCCAGAGTGAGACAGAATCTCACCCACTTCTCTGCTCAGGGTTTGTTTCTCAACAGCTACGCGCCCTCTGGGAGCTCAGTCTCTGTTTTTCCTGAAGCTGTTTCTAGAAAGTGCCTGAATCAAGAACGGTTGTCCTGTGTGGCTCTCCTAGTGCTCTTCAATGCATTCTACGGTCAAGCCACACAGAGAACGTTACATACTGGAAGCTCACCTGGTTAGATAAACACACCATAAAATACATCTCCGGCTCTGACCTCTAAATTGTCATTCCAGCATGGTCTAGATGTGTGACAAAGATGGTGAACCTTATCGAGAAAGACAGATCCAGATGCATAACTCTTAGACACTTAATTTTCCACCAGCCAGCACAGAAAGTGAGATCTGAGCCAAACTCTCCCGCCCTGACTCTTGGTGTCATGACACTGCAGCCTGAGCAGTCCTTTTGACACAGACAGGCTGTGGCTGGAGGCCTACCAACATCAGAAAAGCTGTGTTTTAATGCACACAGTGAAATGGGACTGCACATGGTGGCAAACAATGGAAGGGAGGAAATGGGGACAATCAGGCTCCAATTACTGCCATGCCCAACCACAGTCACAGAGGCTGGTAGGAGAAAAGAAGTATGACACAAACTAGGAATTGGGCAATAGCTTTGCCTTGAAGACAGATCCCATGGCACTCCTTTGCCAAAGCTGAAATGTCATTTTTATTTTCCAGAACTGGGAAAAGAAGGACATGTTGTTTACATCAAGCGTACACCACACAAAGGAGAGTGGATCACAAAAGCACTGTAGCTGTGTCAGTACTGAAGTGGAACTAATGGGCCTTGCTGAGAGAGGATTTAGCTGCAACAGGGCTATACTGCTGCAGCTGCAAAGCTTTTGGTAACTAAGAGGGCAGGCATCTCCAGCGCATCAGTACACCATGTCCAGACTCCTCCAGTGGTAACTTAAAGATATCTGCATCACGCTCAACTGTACTGCCAGAGATGTGGCTTTAGTTAAATAATGGTTGAATTCCTATTCCTTTATATGGTAATATACGCTACTTGGTAAGAAGCAGGAAGTTCTGTTAACACACTACAGGTGAATATAATGGCAGTACTTTCAGAAATGGATGAACCAGGACCATATTTAATTGGGAAGGTCCTTAGCATTGTCTGGGTATGGTTAGAAGAGTGGCAGGGAGTTCAGACTTACTGCACATATGCTGGAACCCTCTGCTCTTCTGCAACAAGTCCCAGTGCCTCTGGACTACCAAATGCTGGCTATAGGCAATAAGGGCCTCCTATGAAACTGGAGGAGTTGTGCCGTATTTCACTAACATCTCAACTTCTCTCATCCAGACCTCTCTAATCACATTTGTGTGCAGCCTAGTATCTCCTACACTCATTAGATAGCTGAGAAATGGCAATAACTTATACTGGTAGATGAGTCAGCAAGGGTCTCCTATTATTTAAAGTTTCCCAAGTCTTCAGCACTACTGCTGCCTCTGATTTTTCCTCCTGTTATGTCAGATCTTTCAGGACCAAAATCTGCAATTATCTTAGCTCCTACCTGTTGAATAACACTTTTTTCTCCAAATCACAGCAAAGTACAACATACTCAAGGCCTTTATATGCCCCATTTAACATCAGTCCCAGCTCTAACTAGGTGCAGTGAACTGAATCCAGTGCAAGCAACCTTTTTCTTTATGTATTTCGTCATGCAAGTTAAAGAAGTCTTACAAATAAAGCCTTGGACTTCTTCTGGACATCCATGGTCTGGCCAGTCAGTATACTGCAAATGCCACACTGTCCTCTCGTGACCAGAGAGAAGATGTTTGACCTTCAGACCAGTAGTTGCGTAGCAGCCGGAGTCTGTGCGGAACTTGGTTGTCACCTTGAACTTCCCGTAAGTGGCTGAGCTGTGCTTAGAGCCCAGTTTAGGCCAATAACGATGACTCTTACTTCTTCCTCCCTCCTTAATAAAAAAAAAACAAAATTAAAATAGCCATTAGTTCCTGCAATTGTAATTCTCTACAAACAGAGGAGCATAACATTCCGTAGATAAGCCAAGTATTCTTCTTTCAAATTATCCATTAAAACTCTCACCCATAAAATATTTCTAAGTATAAAAATGCTTGAAGAACTAACTCTTGTCTTGTGGCAAAAGCCAGCTGCTGCCTACACCACCTGGGTAGATATTCTCCTCCTGAGGAATACTCTGCTTTAACCAGAAGGCGATTCTCTTCAGCAACTTTTAAGTATCTGTTGTTGATCAGCCTTGAACTCGACAGTGACTTGATGGGCTACGGCACTCCCTGTGTTTGCTAAAAGCAACAAGGCATAAAGCTGAATGCACTCTTAGTTAGCAACGTGTGCCAGCTTTTATAACATAGCACATAGTTCTTGGATTACAATAGAAATAACTGTTTTACTTGGCATAAGAATAAAAAGATTTATTTTTTTTAATTTCCCTTTTTCTTTTTTTTTTAACATGGAAACAACAGTTTCTGGTCTCTCTTCAGCTGATAAGAGTGACGGTATGCAAAACTGGCCTTGGACAGGGTGGAAATCTGTGTCATTTTAACCAGGAGCAGCTCAGCACTCTCACATTCCAATGGAAACATCTTTGTTTGGTTTGGCCAAACTGAAGTGAAGCAGGGGGAAAGAGGCGTGGGGAGTGGGTCTGCTTGTTTCACTTTAGTACTTGCCAAACTGAGTATCAGAAAGTTACAAAGTACAGTATTACAGCAGTACAGGCATATGTTCAAACAGAGTAAGGGGAAAAAGGGTTGTTGATAGAAAAAACAGGTTGCTGGAGTGCAAAGTGATGATAAGAGGAGATTTGCTCACATCAGAAAGAACTGTATTCTGTGATTTTACGTACCTCTTCAGCTGTGACCATGGCTATAACATTCACCCCCTGTTCCCAAACCATCTGCCAGAAGTCATGGCATGTGTGTGGCAGAGGCCCTTGGGTTGCGATGTAGTGCCACTCCTCTCCACCCACAGTAACCTGGGAGGAAAAAAAATACCAACATACTGTCAGTGCCCTAATTCTCAGCTGCGTCTGTGCCAGAACTGCCCTTTAAACAAAAGAGACCACAATGAAACCTTTATTCTTTGTTCTTCCAATTTTTTTCTTTCCAAAATTTTGAACAAGAATCATCCTTTTAATAAGAGCAAATCTGACAAAACACAATCTTGGTGCTTCCAAGTCCTTTCTTGATGCCCGTAATGCTCTGAGCAAAATCTTATATAATTTTCTTGCTGTTGTATAAAAAATAAATTTTTTGAGGCCTTGTTTCTGCTGTGGCTTAAGTACAAATAAGCAGCTGAGTGACTTCAGTGGGCTTGGTGACTGACCTGTGATGAAAGAAAAACTGAGCACCAGAGGAAGTGTCTACATGCATTAAAAAGGCATCACATTGCTGCAAATTAACACACAGCAATGTCGAGAGCCTGAACGCAAATGACATTTTGCATGAGGAAAGCTAAAGGCCTCTGAGGTTTAGGATCTCCCCCAATTATTTTCCACTCAGGTAAAAAATAATTTCTTAAACAGATTCTTACTACATTGATCACTGCTGAAGATGGGGCCAAGCTGTCCCCAGAGGATGCAGTTATGCCCCCACAGTGTACCTAACACAGAGCTCAGATAGAGCTGTTGCCAGCTAGTGAGGAAATCAAAAGGGACTTTATTTGAAGTTGCTCTTACTCACTCATCTTGGATTTTTCAGTTCAGAAGCTGTAAACTACTATAAAGCAAATCCAGCACATTAAATGGCTTTCAAATGCCATGTGAAATTTAAAATTATCTAAAGCTGTAGTCATGTAAGTGTATTTCCCAATACGTAACTGGATTACCAACGACATATTACAGAAATATTTGTCTATTTGCATGACAACAATAATAAAATTATTTTTAAAGCACTAACGCACAAATTTACACACTATAAATTGTGTAGTGCCCTGAATAGACCCAACAGTACCTTGGAGTTAACCAGTATGAAACACTGCATCATTTACCTGACTAAGGCAGACCTTCACACTTCGGCAGTTAAAAAATGTGTGAAAAAAATGTGTGTAAAAAAATGTGTTTTATGACAGATTATTTGCTAAACATCACAAAAGGTTTATACACAAAAATGTTTTTCAACATTATAGGTAAAAAGCCAAACCACATCTAGAGCTACTAAATACCATTTAAAAGTGTGCTTACCAGCAAAAAGCAAAACCAGATGAAGTAATTATTTTGGAAAGTTAAAATATTTTCCCTTCTCGGGCTAAGATCTCTTAATCCCACATGTTAGCCCAGAGCCATTTCTCAGAACAGAGTTATAAGTCCCAGAGAAGATTTACAACAGAAATGCTGACACATCCATAAATAACAAGGTGCTGGCGGACAACGCTACAAGGAGCAATCAATAACTCTGACAGGTTTAAGCACATACTACATTTGAGGTACAGGTCTTTGAATACATTTGCAGAAACAGAATCAATTTATTTGTTATTCAAACAGCTGCTCATTAAGCTGAGTTACTTGGGTTTTTACACCTGTAATCAACAAAGCATCTGTAAGATAACATATTTTTGACTGCACTGAAAATGGTTTTCAACCCTGTATACCATTTTCTTATCTCATACTATGCAGCATTCTCCTCTGTGAATGATGGTTAAACGAATATAAACTGCACAGCACTAACTGGCATTTTGCACTTGCATGCTCGTCTGCAGTCATGAGTGCTAGTATAGTATTACTGACCTTTTTAAGTTAATAATGACCTGACCCAAACAGTCAGATGAAGTGATATTAAGAACTTTTTTGCTTAATCTATAAATTTAATTACAATTTGTCTCTCTGGTATAGACGACCTTAGTATCTTAACAGCAACGGTCAATAGTAAATAAGCAAAGAAATACTGTAAAACTGTGGGGCTTGCAGACTGAGCTGGAGTCCTCCAGGCATGGATCTTATCAGGATGATATAGGAGTTTTCTTTGTCTCCTGACTTCTGGTCCAAATATCCAGCCTCCTGGCACATGATATGAAAGGACCATAAATAGTCTGGAGGGAAGAGGATGCCTGGAATGTTTACTGCATTCTAATGCCCTGACTGCAGGATATTAAAAATTGAGTATTGGGCTGCAAACACACAGACGCTGTGCTACTGAAGTAAATTTCACAGATGCAATTTCACCTTCTAAGCAAAAGCACATCTGCTTGGCTTCTGTACATGCCACTATGAGCGTGAGAGGAAAATACTGGCAAAGGTCACTGTCATGCACTAAAACATTTGTGTATGTTCCCGGGTGCTCTATGAATGTCAGATGTGTTCGTGTCCAACACTGACACATTAGGTAAAATGTAGACTCAAAACTGGCCAGGAAAAATTCTTTTCTGGGTAGTATTGCTTTGTGGGCATAATTTATGTTAGGAATTGGGTTATTTTTGGCCTCCCAACAAAGTAGTAGATGAAAAATTCTGGGCTCAGAAATCCGTCATCATAGCAACGTCTGATTATGCAAACACTCAGTATCTGCTACCTACCAGGCTATGTAGAAAAACGATAACCTGCCAGGATCCTGGTTCAGAAATTGTTTTGAATCAACAGGATTTAACACTGTAAATCACAACCAAGGAGGCCAGCAAGTATCTTTAAACTTTTAAAAGGCTTTTTGCAGGATGTGTTATTTATTATTTTTTAATTATTTCTTTTTAATTTGGATTTTAACAATGAGAAAAAGCAGGCAGCCCTCTCTAACAACAAGAGAATCTATCATCTGAAGGAGAGCAGTGCTGTTACTTCTCTCACGGCAGAGTAAAAGCCAACCACGGACTTTGCAAATAGTACTGGAAACTTCAACAAAAACAAGCACCTGCAGCCAACGCAGGATAGTTCACTGATAAAACTGGCTACATTTGTAAAGAACAGAGTTAGATCATATCTTAAATTAGTTCTACACCGAATTAACAAGAAGCAATCTGAAGTATCTTGATAAAAACTTATTTTGACACACAAAAGTCTAATGCAGTATCCAATCAGAGACACAAAATCACAGAATATTAGGAGTTGGA